AAGTGTCTATGAGCGATAAATGAAAAACAAACAAACAGGACTTGTACACTTTCATTCAAATAAAAAGAGTTCTGTTCTCAAAAACTGATGGAGGATGCTAGGGGTCCTGACTTTGTAACAGTGGGTTTGTCTGGGGAAATGGGTGAGGAAAGAATAAACTATTATAAGGGGTAGGTACTGAGTTTCTCTTATAGGTGATGGGAACGTTCAGAAAGCAAGAGGATGATTGTGCAGCATGACGGATATAATGTCATCGACCTGTGTATATGAAAAAAGTGGTAACTGCTTTGTAAGATATTTCTAGCAAAAATAAGGAAAATTTCTAAAAAGCTAACTCAAATCCTATTGAAAATTAGTGAGAAGTTAGAGGAAAATAAGCATTCGGAATGCCATCATCTCAATTTCTACAATAGACATTTCTACAGGAAGGAGCTTCTGCAGAATTTGCACAAAGAAGAAAAATATTAAAACCTACAGCAAGTTGTTTTTCTTTCATGAAAACTACAACACTTTAAATTGACAGTCTTAGGGGAAGAGTTTAGAGAAAGTTGAGTTTTAGGGAAATGAATACATGGTATCTTTTAATGGCAAATTCCTACAAGGAGTTGCTCCTTTGTTAGGAAGCCATAAATTTTATTCTCCCCACCTCCCCGTTCCATAAAAATATGTCAAACATACATTTCTTTCTAGATAAAATGACATGTCAAAACTATTCTACATTTGGTTGGGGGCTATTATTCTGATCTAATAAAATAATTTTGTGTTCAAACAGAATTCTTAATCTGTTTTTGTACTCAAGATGAGATGCAATGCAGGAATTGCCTATAGAATCCATCTCTAACTTAGTTCTATTAATTTACCCCTCAGGTACCAGGAATTAGTTTATGGATCTAAGTGTGTATAGCAATTTTCTCTTGCTGTATCACAAATGTAGTAATTAAAAACAACATCCATTTGTGAGCTCAGGACCTTTTTTATAAGTCAGAAATCTAGGATGTAGTAACTGGCTAGATTCTCCACTCAGGAAGCACAGGAGGAAATAAAAGTATAAGCGGAGTTGTGTTCTCCTCTGGAGTCTCTGGTCCTCTTTCAAATCCATTCTAGTTGCTGGCAAAATTCAGTACCTTGATGTTGTGGAATTTACTGAAAGCCCACTCTCATCACTAATCTTACTGGTGTTCTTACATCAGTGCCATAAGTTGCCCCCTCCATAACTAAAGCCACCAACAGAACAATTATGTCATGTCAAATTTCTGTCACACACACACACACACACACACACACACACACACACACTCACACACCCAAACAAACCCCAAAACCCCTTACCCAGCTCTTTACAAGGGCTCATCAGATTATGTTTGGCCCATTTAAGATACTAACCCTTTTATGGTTAACTGATTTAGGAGCTTAATTACATCTGTAAAACGCTTTCACATCAGCCTCCACATCAGCTTTTGAAAGAATAACTGAGAGAAAGTATGTACCATAGGACAAGAATCTTATGTGCTTTCTCAGAATTCTACCTACCACAATATCTGTTTTATATCTGCTTGGCAGGTGAAAAATGAGCAGTCTTCTCTCACACCATTTACAGCCTCTGCAAACCCACTGGAAGGTCAGCTATGATTTGATGAGTTCCAATCATCACTTCATAACAATATTCAGGGGAGAACTTATTTATTAAAGAGAGTTTAGTTGGCATGGTGGTCCTAGTAAGTTGCTCTTCTAACCCGAAGGTGGTACTTCTCAGGCTGTTTGAACTCTCCAGAAGCTACACCAGAAAAAAATAAATACATTTTTAAAAAAGGGTCAGTCCCCTTTTGTAATCTACAATCTCTAAAAGCCAATAGAGACAAGCCGTTGTCCAAACAGAACAAAGTAACACTGCATGGTTCAAACTAAAAACGAGTGTGTCAGGGATGTATCTTTTCTCCATATCTTTTCAATCTATATGCTGATCATTCAATAGGCTGGACTTTATAAAGATAAATGTGGCATCAGGATTGGAAGAAGACTTGTCAGCAACCTGCTATGCAGATGGAACAAGCTTGCTCAATGAAAATGAGGAGGACTTGAAACACTGGCTGCCAAAAACGGACTGCAGCCTTTAATATGGATTGTATCTCAACATCAGTACAAAAAGCTCTACCACTGGGCCAGTAGGCAGCATCATGATAGAAGGAAAAAAGATTTAAATTGTTAATTATTTCATTTTGCTCGATCCACAATCAACACCCTTGGCACCACTGGTCAGAATATGAAAAGACAAGTTGCACTGGGAAAATCTACTGTCAAAGACCTCACTAGAGTGCTAACGAACAACAATGTCAGTCTAGAGACTGAGGTGTACCTGATCCAAACCATGTTGTTATTACTGTGTGCTGTCGAGTCAAGCAAGTCGTAGCTGACACTCCAGTGGGTTTTCAGAGGCAGTAACTAGCAGGAGATGAAATAGCCTATACTTCTCCTGCAAAGGAGCTGGTGGATTTGAACAACATGCCTTTGGGATTGTAACACTCTTGTTTATAATTAGGCTACTAGAACATCCAAGCGGTGTTCTTTTCAATTGTTTGCTATGCATCTGAGAGCTGGACAATGAATACGGGTAACAGAAAAGGATTAAAGACTTTGAACTCTGTGCTGGAGAAGAATTTTTAACATATTATGGGTTGCCAACATAGTAATCCTAGAGAGAGTAAGACCAGGTTGGTCCTTGGAGACAAGGATTTGAAACTTTGGGTGTATTGTTAGAGGGGACTAGACCTTGGAGAAGTACATCATTTTGGAAGGGTAGAAGGTCAACACAAGAAAGGAAGACTTTGGATAAGATGGATTGACACAGTGACTGTGGCAATGAGATCAGGTATGTAAGAGGTGATGAAGTCGGCTCAGGATAGGGCAAAGTTCAGAATCATTCCTTGTAGGGTTGCTACGAGTCATCACCAACTCAACAGATGATAACTATAACGTGATTTGGAACTGACTAGAAGGCAGAGAGTTTGATTTTTTACTTATTAGTAGAGTTCATTTCCTTTCTTTCTTTGTCTTTGAGTCAGAACCAACTGATAGCTGTCCCTCCATTGGGTTTCCAAGACTGTAAATTTCACAGCAACTTCCCTTTTTTCTCTTGCAGAGGAAGAGATTAGAGCCATCAGAGAGGCATGGCTTTTGGATTAGCAGAACAACTTCCTATGGACTAAGGCACCAGAACTCCCTCAAAAAATCCTTTGGTAGTAAAATGGTAACGCATTTAGCTAATAAATAAAATGTTGGTAGTTCAAATCTACCTAAAGATATTCTACAAAAAAACAAACAAACAAAAATTCTCAAAAAATAAAAACTAAAAAAAAAAAAAACAAACCTAGAGAACTAATAAAAAATTAAATATTTTTTTAAAAACCCAACAAGTCCTTGAACATCCTATAGAGCACAGTTCTATTAGAACACATACAGAGTCTTATGAATTATAATCAACTTGACTGTAACTGGTACCAGTCATTTATTGAAAGAATCCAATGGAGAAGGGGGCAAGAAAAAATAATTGTCTTGCAAATGTCTAAAGAGACCATAACTTGATCCACAGAGGTTTGTTGGCATCATTGGCAATGCCACCAATGATGGCAGCAGTATTTTCCTCAGGTCAGGCAAGAACAAACATTTACAAAAATGTTTTCAAAAGAAGGAACATGAAGAAAGGATGGAGAGAATGGACGAGAGGATTTTCAGGTGAGGTTCAACACTAGTGAAACTGGTTTTAACAAGAACATGTGGTAACCCTAGGGGCACAGTCCCTAGAGAGTTGTGCTGCTAGTCGAGGCTGGTGTCTCTAGCAGCTCAAATCCACCAACTGTAGGAATTTACTTGACAGCAGTGAACACAGGATGAGTGAACACAGGACAAGACTCCCTGAAGTTCTATCACTTGACTGTTTCTCCAAAGCATTGTTGTTGTCATGTGCCGTCAAGTCACCTACAACTCAATACAGCAGTTTTGAACTCTTCCCTGTCTTGAGCCTGTCTCACTATTTCAAACACACCAACCCTCATTGTCCCAATTACTGTATTAATCCATCTCATACGGGGTCTTCCTGTCCTGTGCTATCCTTCCACCCTTCCAAGCATGATGTCCTTTTCCAAGGACTGGTCTTTCTTGGGCATGTGCCCACAGTATGTGAGCCAGAGCTTCAAAATCCCATGAGAATGATTGTATGAAAGTTAATATAAATGAAGAATAATGTGAAACACAATGTATATGACCTTTGTAAGCAAATTCATTTAATGTTTTTTTTTTAAAAAATGAACAAATTATCAATTTCTTAAGCCTGAAGGCTAAATATAAATATGTCTTGCCTTCTCTCCAGGTAGTGCCAGGTCTGCAAGAATGCTTTGGGTTTCTAGATTTTTATTGTTCTAATCATCTTTGTTCTTGGCTACATCAAATGAAATAGAAGGCAGAGATAATTTTTATTCTCTGAACCATTTTTCCTTGTGTAACACAGCTAATTTCAAGGCCTCAACCCTCATCTCAGAAGATACCATCTATGGATAACCCCTTTTAGAGGGAAAAAATGAATTCTTCATATCCTATCTTGAACTATTCATATAAGATCTTTCAGATCGGATTCTTGGTGCAATTACTGCACTAGACTTTATTACAAGTAATAAAAAAGCAAAACAACCCCACAAACAAAAACCCACCAAACCCCAAAGTAATGGGGTAGATTCTTCCCCCGCCCCCAATTTGTTTGCTCTCTGGTGAGGACAATGGGCTCGAGGTCTCAAACTCCTTTTTCTTTTTTTCCTGACGTATTTATCTTCTGTATTGTGGATTATTTCATGGCTCAGATGGCTGCTGGAAACTTTGCTATCACATTCACAGTGAAGGTAAGTACAAAAGGAGAAGTACATGCCAACTTATGTATTTCTTACAAATTCCATAGAATTTTTACTTATAGTCCCATTGGCTGGATCACAATAACATGTTTTTAAGGTGTATACATGGCAGTTGGATTTCTAAAAACGAGTCCTTGTATTACTGTGTCCTCAGGTATAAAAAGTGTAGTTAGCAAAGGCATGAAGCAGGATGTGGAGGATCATCAAGAAAGATTGTATTGTTCTGGCATCACAGGAACGCAGAATTACACCTCTGGGACACATAATCGGGAGGTGATTATGGGAGAGGAAAATGAATGGGCAATAGAATCTGTAAGGTATCCATTGGAAGAAAGAATGGGCTCTTACCCAAAGAAGTATTTATATCTGTTGTAAAGTGTTTGTGATGAACAGTCCTATGATTTCTGTAATCTCAATTCTTTGGTATGAGTTCCTTACTCAACATGTATTATAAAGCATGTAGGCATTTTACTAGATTGTGACTGGGGGACTATTTCATTTTAGGATTCTGTAAGGGACAGCCCTTTGCTTTGTTTACCAGTCTTGTCATCAGAACCTCTGTCCTATCTTCTCTGCTTGTCTCCACATTGAAAATGAAGATTCTGTACCATTAACTGTCCAGTATCAAAACTTTAAAAAAGGAAAGCATCTTCTTACCCATTTTAAGAAAAGTAGAGATAAGGAGTCACAGAGCTTCCAAGGAAATGAATAGAATGAGAGATATAATGTAGATTTGGCTGCCTTTCCAAGGAGTTTATAATTATAATGGATGCTGAAATAGTTATATTCAAAAATGTAATATTTTAAATTTTTAACTGATAACTGGATTTAGTCTAATAAAGGCAGACAATGTGATGCTAAACACTGTGACTGATGCATGAAATGCAATAATGGTTACCCATGGTAGACAGTGTTTGGTGGAGCTTCCCAATTAAAACAATCTTGGAAGCAAGAGTGGCCTCCACTTCTGAAATAGCTTGCCTCTGGAAACTCTATGAACTTGGAGAAATGATGAAAGTTATAAAAGTGTTCGTCTTTCATTCATAGGGTCACTATGATTCATCTACAACTTAACAGCACCTAACAATATGTCTTAAAAAAACACTGATGAAACTAACATTAATTTATTCTTATAATACATTCAAGTATTAGAAATATTAACTTATCACTTATCAGAAAAGATTAAGACCAAACATTTAGGTAGGCATGTATACTATTGAAAAGGATATGAATATTAAGATTTAGAGTCCCTAAATAAAACTGGAGAACTCTGATACCACAGTCCAGAGTTAGTTACATGAGAAACACAAAGGCCCTGTATCAGAGTGGTTTGAATATACCAGCAACTCCTGACTAGAAAGAGGGGCACTCTGTTCCTGTTATGATTTACAGCCTTGGAAACTTAATTGATGGGAGCTATGAGTCAGAGCTGACTCAACAGCGATGGACTTGAGTTTAAGCACAAACCTGAGATCAATATATATAACCCATAGATGTTTCTGCTAAGTTAATTATCTCTAATTTTGGACCATTACTTTGAAGAGATGTGACTATCAAGAATTATTATTTTTCTTGGAAAAATAACACTAAGAATGACAATTTATTTTTTTTTGGTTTTTACCACACACATACAAAGATGAAGAAGTATAACCCAGATAAATGGCTAGATCTGAAAACGGAGGCCTTTAAATTACTGTGGCTTGAGAGCGGAAGAAATGAAGGGACAATTATGAGTGGATGAGGCATTAAGTGGTACAGTAATGTAGAGAGATGTGTGGCTAACCTAAAGGGAGTGTCTGTCTGGAGGTTTGAGTCCATTGGCAGCTCTGAAGGAGAAAGACGGAGACTCTCTCCTCATGCAGTTTATAGCCTCCAAGAAAATTTGCTGAAAGGGAATCTATGAGTTTTTCCTACTTGAGGGCAATGAGATGATGATGATAATGATGAAGGTAATTATGCTTGTAAAGAATTTTGCCTAAAGAGATAAATCTGTACATTTTTTTATTAGCTTGCTTTTAACGTATAACTTTCAATTATTTTTTATATCTTCAATTTTTTATTATTAGAAATGTTAATGTTGTTAAGTGCCATCAAATCTTCTATGCCTCATCAGCAAATCAGAAGTTTGCTCTTATCCTGCACAATCTTCATGATGTCTGTTATGCTTAATTGAGCTTTTGTACCAAGAAGAGTTGTATCGTCTTTCAGGAAGAGGATTGAGTATCTAAATTGTACAGATAATGTACATTATATATTATAGTAGTTTTTATGTGCATTGAGTCCCTTCCAACTCATAGCAACCTTATGTATAATAGCTCTGAAACCTGCCCTGTCCTGCACCAGTCTCACTGTCTCTGATATGTCTAACCCGATTCCCTCAATTACTGTATCAATGCATCTCATCCAGGGTTTTCCCTCTCCTGTTCTGTCCCTCCACTCTTCTAAGCATGATGTCTTTCTCCAAGGACTGGTCCCTCAAAGTACGTGAGATATTCACCTCTAAGTAGCAGCTTGGTTTTGCACTCTCCAAAGAGACTTCTTTGTTCTCTTGGCAGCACATGGTATGTTCAATACTCTTTTTCAGCACCACAACTCAAAAGTATCGATCCTTCTTTGTCATGAGGCTATGTAAAAAAAAAACAATAAAAGCCACTGCCCTTGAGTTGATTTTTTGGGCTCTTAAGTAGAATTGCTCCTTACAGATTTGAAAGTTGTAAAAAGAAATAAATAATAAAATGTGGTTTCGGTGAAAGTTTACAAACCATATTGGTTTTTGAAGCATTCATCATATAAATTTTGTTTTAGGACATTAAAAAATTCTAATAGGTATCCATATTGGCAAAGTGGAGGTAAAATTATCTCTCTATGCAGATGATGTGAGAGTATACTTAGAAAACCTAAAGACTCAGCAAGAAAACTATTGGACATAGTTGACTAATTCAGAAAAGTAGCAGGATAAAGGATCAACATACAAAAATCAGTTGGATTTCTCCACAGTGACAAAGAGAACACAGAGCTGGAGCTAAGAAAAACAATACCATTTACAATAGTTAATCACAAGATAAAATATTTGGAAGTAAATATAACTAGAAGCACAAAAGATCTTTTCCAAGAAAATTACAAAACATTACTGCAAGAAAAAAAAAAGAGACCTGGAGAAGTGAAAGAATATCCCTTGCTCATGGATAGAGAGACTCAATATTGTGAAAATGGCAATACTACCAAAGGCAATTTTACACGTTCAATACAATCCCAATACAAATAGTAATCCCATTCTTCAACAAGATAGAAAAACCAATCTCCATTTTCATTCGGAATGGAAAGAAGCCCCGAATAAGCAGAGTACTCCTTAAAAATAGAAAAAAGGTAGGAGGCATCTCACTTCCTGATTTAAAATCCTACTACACTGCCATAGTAGTTAAGACAGCATGGTACTGGTACAATGACAGACACATAGATCAATGGAATAGACTTGAGAACCTGGAAATCAGCCCATCTGTTTATGGTCAACTGATTTTTGACAAGGAGATGAAATCAGTTTAGTGGGAAACAACAGTCTTTTTAACAAATGGTGTTGGAAAATTGGAAAACTATCTGCAGAAGACTTAAGCAATATCCACACCTCACTCCATATACAAAAACCAGCTCAAGGTGGATCATGGACCTAGGACTAAACCCAAGGACTATAAACTTCATTAAAGGAAAGCTTGGAAGAACTTTAGTAGTCCTAATCCACAATGTAAACAGTCTCCCAAGTATCCTGATAAATCTACAACCAGGAGAAGAGAGTATAGATGAATGGGATCACCTAAGAATCAAATTCCTATGCACATCCAAAAACTTCTCCAACAGGGTAAAAAGGGAAGCCAGACTGGGAAAAAATGTTTGGTAATGCCATGTCAGATAAGGGACTTATATCTAGAATTTATAAAATACTTGAGCACAAAAACAAGATAAAGGTAAAAAATCCAGTAGAAAAATGGGCACGGGATGTGAACAGACACTTCATCAAAGAAGACATTCAGATGGCCAAACAAGCACATGAAGAAATGTTCAAAATCCCTAGATCGAAGAGAGATGCAAATCAAGACAACTATGAGATATCATGTCACCCCAGTAAGACTAGCAAAATTTAACCGAATAGCAAGCAACAAATGCTGGCGAGGTTGTGGAGAGACTGGAACCCTTATTTACTGTTGGTGGAAGTGTAAAATGGTGCAACCACTGTGGAAAGGGATGTGGTGCTTTCTCAGAAAGTTGCAAATAGAGATACCATTTGACCCAGCAATTCCACTACCGGGAACATACCCTAAAGAGACCATAACCAACATCCAAGCAGATATATGCACACCCATGTTTATCATGGCTTTGTTCACAATAGCAAGGAGTTGGAAACAGCCCAAGTGCCCATCAACAAAGGAATGGATAGAGAAGCTGTGGTATATTCACACAATGGAATACTATGCTGCATTGAAAAATAAGGAACTCACAATATTATTGAAAATGGGTGACCCTGGAGGACATTATGCTGAGTGAAATATCTCAGTTATGAAAGGACAAATACTGCATGCTGCCACTGTTGTAGAATGAGACTGACATTAGAGTTGGGGTAAGACTGAGAAAAACTGGATAAATTATGTATACTGTATTGAAGCCAATGAGGGAGAGAACAGTTTAAAAGTAATATATTTTATTATAATAAGAGTTCAGAGTGAGGGTTGCGGAGTGGAGTATACTCGGGATGAGGGTCAGGGGTGGGGGGTTGTATACCAATGAAGGAGTTTTTCTTTGGCTTTTCAAAGAGAAGAGCAAACTGGGGGTGGGGGTGGGGTGGGCAGGGAGAAAAGTGCAACAATGAATAAATGGAAATCCAAAATCTTTTTAAAAATTTTAAAATTTTTGTTCCTCTCTCCCTTCTTGGTAGCCATACTAAAATGATTCTATGTATAAAACTTTCTTTAGCTTTTACACTAGTGGTATTATATAATATTTGTCCTTTTGTAACTGATTTTTTTTCTAATTGACTCAAAATAATGTCCTTTTGTGATTGGCTTATTTCACTCAACATAATGCCCTCCATATATATTCATTCATCCATGTTATACAGAGTTTCAAGAATACTTCATTATTTTTCAATGTTGAATAGTAGTAACCACTGTATGAACATACAAACAACTATAAAGATCATCAGAAGAAAGACAAACTTAGAAGGCCTAACCTATAGCATAAGTAAACATAAACATTTTAAACATAAAAAAAATCAACAACTGAAAAAAAATTAACAACTGGCAAATGATAAACTAAATTAATGTTATCT